AATATTTATATCTTAGTTATAGTGTAACTAATAAGAAAGAACTGAGAATAAATAAGAGAAAGTGAAGAAGGAAAAAATGTTTAAATATATATCTGCTGATGAATATCCTAAAGGATTATATATTGGTATAGAGTCCAAGTTCCAGGGAGACAAGTATTTTGAATTTTTCTGGTAACTTACTCAAAGATTAAATTTCAAGCTTTATACCTATATGTTTTAAAAATAATATTTTCATAGCAATCATGTCCTGAGATGGATTGTTTTTTCATATATGTATATATGCTTTTATTTATGTTTTTTAATCTTGTTTTGTTGTATTTTTCCATTTGAAAAGCCTCAGAGAAACTGAAATTGGAATTAAAGCTTGGGAGGAATAAAAGAAGTCCTTGAATTCCATCTTTTCATGGTGCATTTTTTTTCCAAGTGTCTCACTTCTGCTGTGTTTTTGACGAGGGTCAATGTAAAGAAGAGGAAGATGTCATGATGCCTGGACTTAGTTATCAATAACTGAACATTATAATTGAATTAATAATGTTGTCTAGTGACTTTTCTTTAGATAACTCTGCCTTCTTTCTCATGTTTAAATCTATACTTGTTAACGATTAGATACCCATGACATACAGCTGATGGCAGTATTACTGCAACTTTATATAAGAGGAGATCTCAAAATCCTAAAGAAGTGAGTAAGTAACAGGGAGGCACTCATGAAGTAAAAATAATTCCCAACTACTTGGCTGCTGTTTTCTTATTTTCTATTTGGAATTTCTATATTACATCAACAATGTTGATTGAACATTTTACTATAATAAGGAAGAAGATGAAAATGACAATATTTTTACTACAATCAGGAAATATATGCAGATTATTGGACAAATGAAAATTTTATTTCAGCAGTTTGGTTGCTTATTCTTAGGGCCTTCTTTCTATCATTGATACATCCTCAGAAACGAATATTTAAAAATTTCAGCTGAAATTTAATCTAACAGTGCAAAAATGTGGAATAACAACCAGAGCTCACGAAATGATTTCATTTTACTTGGGTTCTCTGACCGTCCTTGGCTTGAGACACCACTCTTTGTAATCTTTCTGTTGACTTACCTCTTAGCCCTCTTTGGAAATATTTCCATTATCTTAGTTTCTCACCTGGATGCTCAGCTTGACAGTCCCATGTACTTTTTTGTCTCAAATCTATCCCTTCTGGATCTCTGTCTCACCACCAGCACTGTCCCTCAAATGCTTGTCAATCTCAGGGGGCCAAAAAAGACCATAAGTTATGGTGGTTGCATTGCACAACTCTACATTGCCTTGGCCGTGGGTTCCACTGAATGTATACTTTTAGGTATTATGGCTTTTGATCGTTATGCTGCTATTTGCAAGCCCCTTCACTACCCAATCATCATGAACCAGAAACGCTGTGTCCACATGGCAACTGGAACCTGGATTAGTGGTTTTGCTAACTCCCTTGTCCAGTCCACTTTCACAGTACTGACTCCAAGATGTGGACGGAGGGTGATGGATCATTTCTTCTGTGAAGTTCCTGCTCTTTTGAAACTAGCCTGTATAGATACTCGTGTGAATGAGGCTGAACTGAATGTACTAGGGGCCTTGTTGCTCTTGGTTCCTCTCACTCTCATAGTGGGAACTTACATGTTCATTGCTCAAGCAGTAATGAAAATAAGCTCTTCAGAAAGTCGCTGGAAAGCCTTTAACACATGTGCTTCACATATATTGGTGGTCTCCCTCTTCTACATTACAGCCATCAGTATGTATGTCCAGCCTCCCTCTAGTTATTCTCGTGGGAGAGGGAAGATCATGGCTATCTTCTATGCAATTGTCACACCTAGCCTCAATCCATTTATCTATACTCTGAGGAACAAAGATGTGAAAGCTGCCCTTCGAAGAGCACTGACCATGGAGTTTTGGGTTAAGACAAGATGATCTTAAAAAGAAGACTTAATTTCAAATACGAATGTGTATGTCTGTCAAACAATCAGTGGTATAGCAAAGTGATGAAGAACACAGTAACAAGTGAGATAAATTGTACAAGTCAAACAAGGCAAAGAAAGAAAGTTTCTACATCACTTATCCCGGGAGCACAGATGACATAGTCTATAAAAAGTTGCTACTAAACCAAAGACTTCTTTGGAGTTTTGACTTTCCAGCCACTCCTGAGAAGAAAGATGGGGTGTCTTCTTCCTTGAAATTTATAACTTTGGAAACTCTCACTGGAGGGTGAGCTATAAGTCAGAAACAACTTGATTGTAGAGAAAGACACACACACACAGATACAGAGAAAGAGATAGAGTTTGTTGTCCCTTATGTTATTGCTGTTTCGTGCCAGTGAGTCAGAACCAAATTGCTCAGGAGGAGACTGTCTATCTTTGTCCTGTGGTATTTCTGGTGGACATGAACAATGCACACTGGGGTTGACAACACACCTGTTTTATGTAATGGAATCCCACCAAGTCTTTTTCATTTTCTCCTTTACCATAATCTAGTCTCAGGAGACAAAGAAAGCAGTATGTCATGGAAAAGATACTAAAATACTTCTATATTTGGCCTAAATATACAAATATACCTAATTATCTCAGGAAACTTAAAAATAGTATGTGTTTTTATATCTCCCTGTGTGTGAGAAAGAGAGAGAAGGAAAGAGAGTAGAGAAGAGGATGGGAGAGCAGACAGTGAACAGAAAAATAAAAAGAAAGAGAGAGAGAGAAAGAAAGACGAATGAACGAAAGAAAGAGAAAAATAGAAGGAAAACTAGGTAACAGTTAATATTTATATATTTATTATTATTAATATTTATAGATTTAATATATAGATTTAAAAAATCTAGATATTTGAAAATGCTTTCAGGGCATGGAATTTAATAGCTCTGTGTCACCTAAGGCAATTAAAAGAATAAAATACTAATTTAAATTCATATAGTTCCATATCACTTTCTATTTGGTTATTTATGAAATCATGACAAATATTCATGCTGAGTAAGCAATATAATCTCTTTTCACATACTTCCCCAAAATTTTTAATAAAATTAAGCTTTCCAAAGTGCTATTTATTCATAAATATATTTAGTAATTTTTATTTATTTTAGTTCTCTGTAAGTATTCCAAAAGAGTTCATTTTTTTAAATATCAAAAAAATTCTTCAGTTTATTTGATCAGATTTCTTAATTTATAGTAAACACTAATAGTGAAAATTCTATTATATTAGATTTATTATCTATCTGGGAATATTAACCATCTGAGTTCTAAAACACTATCAACATTTATGAATATTGGATATGGCAAAAACATTCTGCTATACTAAGATTACCACATGTCATAGATAGACATGGACATTTTATTCTTCCATACATATATGAAAGAATTCTGGAATGAAGAAATGTGTGAAATACCATGTATATAAATGGAAAAAAAGATAAACTTTATTATAAAAAAAAATGTAACAACCAAAAAGTTGTTTTCCACAATATAAATAAACACTAAAGATATTTGGTGTCTCTTTCTCAAATGGATATTATTGTGCACACATTATAGAGGACTGTCTTTTAAGACAATTTCCAAACTCATGTTGTTGTTGTTAAGTGCCGACGAGTCGCATGCTACTCATAGCGACCCTATGAGGGAGAGTCCTCGATGCTTGGGTGTCTTTCATCCTCTCTCCAGGTTAATAGGGTTTCTGGAGGCAAGCTATTATGGAAGTGGATTTCACTTCTCCTTCCAAGCTTGTTTTCATTGGGGAGCTCCATCCCACTTTCTGTCCACCTTGGGTAACCAGCCATTAACGCATTTGACACATCTGTGTCAGTGTTCAGCCTCACAGCAACCACAAGTGACCGCTATACGGCAACTTGTACACCAGGGCTACAATACCTAGAGGAATGTCTGAACAAAAACAATGAAAGACAGGGCGCAGATTAAGTCATCCACCTTTGGCTTGGCAGCATCGCTTTTTGTCCACTGGCCCAGCTGATATGTTGATGTTATTGTTGTTAAGTGCCATGGAGTCGCAGGAGACTCATAGGCCCGAGGGCCCTACAGTGTTTTGGCAGCCCGGCACGCCCAATTGCTGGGAAACTCCCTGCCCCAGACCCCCATTCATCTGGCTAGTCCGCTCTGCCAAACCCCTCGTGGGCCCCAAAGAACCACCACACGTACTCGGGGTCCTGAAACCTACCACACCTCTAGAAGCCAGAGACCGGATCCAGGTGACATTAAATATCCCAAGCCCCCAGGCAGGCTTGACCTTTCAGTGTCTTAGCAGTCCAGCACTCCCAATGCTGGGAAACTCCCTGCCCCAGACCCCCCCATTCATCTGGCTAGTCTGTTCTGCCAACCCCCTCGTGGGCCCCAAAGAACCACCACACGTGCTCGGAGTCCTCAACCTCACCACCAGTAGCCAGGAACATAAAAGACATATTGGGATGGGAAAGTCTGCTGTTAGGGACCTCTCCAAAGTACTGAAGAGCAACGGTGTCTCTCTGCAGACTAAGGTGCATCTGATATAGGCCACTGTCTTTGCAATCACTTGCTATGCATCAGAGAGCTATACAATGACTAGGGAGGATAGAATAAGAATTGATGCTTTGAGCTGTGGTGCTGGAGAAGAGTATTGAATGTACCATGGACTGCCAAGAAAACAAACAGATTCATCTTGGAGAGGATTAAACCAAGCTACTCCTTGGAGGCAAGGATTCTGGGGCTTCGTCTGACATACTTTGGACATGTTGCAAGGAGGGACGGGTCCTTGGAGAGGGACATCATGCTTGGGAGGGTGGAGTGACAGCGCAGGAGGGGAAGACCCTCTATGAGATGGATTGATTCAGTGACTGGGGTAATTGGGATGGGTAGATCGAAGATGGTGCTATTGGCACAGGACATAGCAGAGATTAGGACTGTTGTACATAGGGTCGCTATGAGTCACAAGAGACTAGACGGAACATAACAACAACAACATTATGATATTACCTGTAGTCTAGTGGTGAGAATTTTTCTTTTCATGACATTAGGATGAAATCCATATTGAAGGTTGTACTGTATGTTCTTCTGCAGAAAGTTTTTTCAAGTTCTTCTCATTTTCAAAGCGAGAAGTTATATCCTCTGTATAACACAGGCTGTCAATGAGTCCTCAAACTCATGTAATACTATTAATATTCATGTTTATGTCCTGTGTACTGTTAGCACTTTAATTTGGCTATGGTAGTTGTTCAGAAAATATGTCCAATGTAATTGAATCTAGAGGTGACTTTCTTTTTAAAGACTAATACACTTCTTCTCTCTAAAAAGAACAGAGAAATGTTTTATTTCCTGCCAATGAAATTCAATAAGCAAATCTACTTTCTGTGATTTTTTTTAGAAATGTGATAATGTGATAAGGAAAAAAAGAAAACCTTTTGGAGAAGTAACAAGCCCTTGATTATATAAGGGGAAGAAAATTTGCTTTCTCAATACTGGTGTAATCTGGGAGAGGATTCCAGATATTTAAAAAAAAAAAATTGGTGGTAATCCTTGCCAGAAACCTCATAGCAACATGAAATGAAAGAAATTAGATGAAATGAGTTGACAAAGTAAGTAAGGTAATGTGGCAGGTTTGTCAGAAACAGTGAAATTGGCTCTGTATAGGCCAGGGTTCAGAGCTATGGTATAGAGAGTCAATATGAATTGGAGGTCACTCGATGGCACATAATATTAACAACATTAAATTTTAGGAAAATGGTTCATTGTATTAATTTATTCAATCTATTAAAACAATGTACTTCTCAAACAGAGACAATGTGCTATGGAATATTTAAGACTATTAAATCAACATAATGTGTATTTCTGTGTGCTAGGAACTTTTTGTGTGTTTGATACAATCATTAATGTACATTGTTTCATTCATGTACATTTTTAAAACAATCATTTCTTCACAATGTTTTATATAATTAATTACGATTGATATATGATTTTTATCCCCATCTCTCATCAAGTCCTCAATACACCTTGGCTATTCCTTCACATACCCCCAATCTGCTCACTAGTATCTGTTCCTTGTGATTTCTTTTACCTTATTTTGCACTTCTTCCTCCCGTCTCCTTTTGAATAGTTACAAAAAGCATCCTATGGATGGAGATAATTCTTCTGAGATCCATATTTCAGACACTGTCAACATGATGGAGGGACATATTAACAGAGTTGAAGAGATGGAACACAGAACGAGTAAAATAGAAGATAGAATTGTCACCACTGCCTCTTCAACAAATGGTGCTGACAAAACTGAACTTCCACCTGCAGAAAGCTGAAACAGGATCCACATCTCACACCATGCACAAAAATAAAATCAAGGTGGATCACAGATCTGGGAGTAAAGCCCAAAACCATAATGTTCTTAAGAGACAAACTGGGATCAAGCTTAGAAGCGCTAGTCCAAGGTATAAAGAGACTGCCAAATACAACCAGAAATGCACAATCTAAAGAGGATAAAATGGATGCAAGGGACCTTCTGAAGATTAAATCTCTATGCACATAAAAAACTCTTTCCGACAGGGTAAAAATAAATCCTACAACAGACTGGGAAAAACATTTGGTAATTCCATCTCAGACAGGAGTCTTATAATGAAAGTTTACCAAATACTTCTGTATTCTTGTGGCCTCCACAAGAAAAAGACTGAATACCCAATTTCAAAACGGGCAAAAGACATGGAAATAATTTTCTCAGAGGAAGATATTTGAAACAACACATGAAGAAGTGCTCCAAATCACTGGCAAGAAGAGAGATGCAAATCTAAACCACAATGTGGTAACATCTCACTCCAGTAGCAGTGACAAAGTTCAATAGGACAGAAAGTAATAGATGCTGGAGAGAATGTGGTGAGAAAGGAAATCCTGTACATTGTTGGTGGCATTATAAAATGGTGCAAGCATTCTGAAATGTGGTTTGGTGCTTCCTCAAAA